GATGTATTTCAATCAGTTTAATCAATGGTTTGTCTATAGATTAACGTGGATCATCTGGTGGAAAAGATGAAGACAACAGTGAAAAGAGGACTTATTTTGAGGTTTATGCACATCAAAATGATGCATGATCCTACCTACCTTGCTATTGAATATTTGGTTTTCATTTAATCTATAATTCTGCTCTTGGTTTAGAAATGAGAAATGCAATGCAAACTACACCACAGATTTCATCTTCAACCTGTATTCAGAGGAGGGGAAGGGCGTGTTTGACTGCAGAAAGAATGTGCTCGGTCACATGCAGCAGGTTTGATACTTCTTAATTGTTTATTGCACACATAACTGAGCAACCACTTTAAAAAATACGTTTTTTTTTTTTTTGTTTTTTTTTTTAATTAGGGTGGAACGCCCAGTCCTTTTGATAGGAACTTTGGCACAAAGATGGGAGTTAAGTCTGTCCTTTGGTTGACTGAAAAGCTGAAGGAATGCTACAGACATGGTGAAAACTAAGTGCTTCACATCATACAATATTTGACTGACATCTGGTGTTCTTTTGTAGTATTTTGATAAAGTAGTATGTGCTCATTTTGTTACCTTTTAGCAGAAATGTTGATTTCCTGTTTTTAAATTAAACCTTTAGGTCGCATCTTTGCCAACTCAAAAGACTCAGCCTGTGTGCTGGGAATGAAGAAAAGAGCATTGGTGTTCCAGCCTTTGGCAGAACTCAAAGATGAGACTGATATTGAGTAAGACTGTTCACTCCACTTTGCATTTTCCTTTTTTTAGTGTTGCACAAATCTTAATGTGTTTTAGCACAAATCTGTGTAATATTCTAATGCAAAGCACTGTTTAATTGATTATGGATGGATGCATTATTGATAATAGATTTAAAAAAATCAAAACCTCTTAGAAATATAAACCTGAAGTTTATATCTGTAATATTCGTATTTCTTCAATAACTTTTTTGAGCAACATTTTGGTTTAGGTACATCAACAAGTCTTTTGGGATTGGTCTCTACAATCTTGGTTCAAAAACTCAACCATTTGTGCACAGTTCTTTGAAAATTAGCCTAAGCTCTGTCAAACGGGATAAAGAGCACATATGAACAACAAATTTCAAGTCTTGTTACAATTTTGAAGTTGAACTACAGTTTTTTTTTTCCCTTCCCTCTTCATGCATGTTATTTTGCCACATTAATGCACAAAATAATAATTAAAGCATGCAGTTTAAAAGGAAAAAGATCCAAAAGAGTTCAAGAATACTTTTGTAGGGCATTCTTATTGCCATTTGTAATGTGTTACATGTTTTGCATTTGGCACTTCTCTACTGAACAATGCTTGTCCTTTGCAGACACCGTATTCCAAAGACCCAGTGGTGGCTTAGGCTGAGGCCCCTCTTGAAAATCCTGGCCAAGTACAAGATCAACTTGGACACCTCAGAGAGGACTGCAATGGAACACGTCATAAAGAAGAGAGGCTTAGTTCCTCAGTAGCTTTTCTATGCAACCACTCTGGAGAGGATGTCGGTTAATCAACTCCTTTTAAAGCACCTTGTAAACTGTGGATTGTACAATATAATAAATCAATCAATATAAAGACTTAGTTTAACCATAACCCCTTACAAAATTTACACTCAGTGTTAAATAAATTAAATGTGAAATGCAGCTGCTAAATAGTCCGAATGCCAGTATGAATTTCAGGTATTTAATCTTTTTCATTGGCTCCTGATTTGGTTCCGTGTGAATATGAGATTCATACAGTTTTCCCATATATGGTAATAGGTGATTTAATTCTTTTGTCCCTTGGATTTTCTAAAGTAAGTTTCAGGGATAAAAAGTGTGTCTCCCTTCACATTTTTCTAAATGCAAATAAATGTTAAAATAAAACCAATTTGAATTCTCCAAGTCTCTGTTTTTGCTTTTTCCATTATACACACCTTTAATCTTTTACAGTTTGGATGATACACTTTGTTTTTGAAATGCATTTGAAAGTTCTGATTATCACATTTTGCTAAAATCATATTTTTACAGGTATTTTTTATATCCAAACCATCACAGTTTGCAGCAGCCTTTGCACCCAGATTGAGAAAATAAATAGTTTGGACGTTCCCTACATTACCCAGGTCTCTATCACTTATTGGAGCAACATGACCAGTGTAGAGTTGGAACACCGAAACGACCCTTGAATAAATGCTTTCTGGATTCCGTTTTTCAATAATCCAGTGATTTTTATGTATTACTAAATATTACATAGAAATTGCTGGAATTTCATGTATGTCATTCATGTCATATATCAATTAGGATATGACAATCTCTACAGTAAAATATAATCATAGGAGGGATGGTTTAAGACTTTTCATAGTGTTTGACGTTGTAGCATAAATTCAATTGGAGAAACATTAAATCAATTCTTCCATTTTCTAAGTGTTTAAAATAAGACAAATAATCTACCAGGATAGTGCATGTGCATTCCTGGTTTGTTTAAAATAAATGTCAACCTGCTTATTTTATCTGTAACAAAGGACTCATTCAGAAATACATGAAGTTTGAGGGTTGGATTAGGATTAGCTACACTTAATGTACACACTACAGACGACATTACATATAAATGTTTTTTGCGGTGTTTGATATTTTATTATTTTCTATGGCTTCATAACCACATTAAAGATGATTTATTTTGATTCTAGTTTATCAGCCAGAGATACCTGCTGGACTCTTTATTTTTAGTTTATATTGGTTTTCTATGGACCTCTCTGGGTTTCTCAAAGAGTGTATGAGCATTTTATTCTGTTTAAATTCCAAACTATCTAGATTTGAAAACACAATTACAATAGGAGTAGGAACTGACTGACCTTTGTAATAATTACCTTATTTATTTATTGTCCGTTATAATCTTCAACTTTATTTGTTTATAACTTATTTTTTTAAGTATTTACTTATGTGCATGTGATAATATTTTTGTCTGTATTTTTCTTCCTTTGTATTTTTTTAACCTCTTTATTTCTTCAACACTATTTCTGCTTGTCGTTTTTACATTTTTTGTATGCATTTCTGCCTCGTCATGCAAATGAGGAAGGGCTGTGTCTTAGAGAGTCAACTTCTGCTCATTGGTGGGTTAGCATTTTACTGCAACGGTCGAATCTACAGGAGGAGAGGAGAGTCTGAAGTCGAGTCTGAAGTCAGTGGCCTTTTCTCAATTCACAAGTACGTGAGTACTGACTCGTGCAGAAATGCATACAGAAATGTAAAAATGACAAGCAGAACTAAATAGCGTTGAAGAAATAAAAAAAGAGGGTAAAAAATACAAAGGAAGAATAAAACACAAAACACAACAAACACAAAAATATTATAACATGCACATAAATAAATACTTTTTAAAAAGTAATAAATAAATAAAGTTGACGATGTGGGTGATGTAATGGACAATAAATAAATAAGGTAAGTTTTTGCAAAGGCGAATAAATAAAGAAGCTAATTAAAAGAAATATATACATTTATGTCTCACTGTATTAATTTCTACCTACATTTATTTGATTATTGTATTTTGGGGGGACATTAATTTTATGCTTACTTATCTATTGAGCATTTATTTATTTATGTATTTATTTCTCTATAAGTTTGGACCGTAAAAAAATAAATAATTAGAATAAAAACTTCAACACCCATAATTCAACGCGTCACCACGAGACCGGATCTGCTTCGCGATTGGTTAGCTAATATCTTTTAAAACAGTGCGCGGGGTGCCGTTTGGTAATGCGACGCAAACACAACAGGAAAAAATATTGATAAGTCCTTTTCAGACTGTTGCTATGTGGCGCATATGTCAAGTCTTTCCGTCGTGAGGACAACTTTTTCCGACATTATCGAAGGCTTCAGGTAAATTCGGGTTAACGGTAGTCTTCCGGAACAATAACGAAGTTGATGAATTCTGGCGACGTAGCCATTAGCTTACCACATTATTTGAAAAAAGTTTGACATGCGTTATCTTCTACTGATTCATCTATTTAACAGGAGTCGACATGAAGTGTTTGAAAGTGGAAGAGTACATCAAAAGGACCTCTTCCGTTGAAGAGACGACGCTGTTGTACCAGGAATTGGAGGTTGGCATAACGGTCAAATGTTTTTAGTTTGGTAGCTTTTCTAATGAAGGACCCTAGCTATGTCTCACGTTTAAAAAGTATCTGTTCTGTTTGAGTGTGACTTCTCTTTTCTGACTCTTAAACTCTCTGTTTGTATTTTTTTCCAGAAATACACTAGTAGTAATCATGGACAACATGCACGTCAGCTGTATGACAGAATTCTCAGAGCTTGTAACCACCAGCTTGGGCTTGGATCCTGTTACTTTAACCACATCAGCGAGTTAGTGAGGCTGGTTGAGCTGGCTCTTCATGCTTTCTATAAGTCTGCTGAGATTGTGCCGCAAAGCGGTCCATTATATATGGAGAAGATCCTCTTCCATATTGTCAAAAACCTGGTGTCCCTAGGATCACACTCTCTGTGCCGTGATTTGGCTGGATTGCTTTACAATAAATTGTCCCTGGTACATCAGGTATGTATGGGCTACAGTGCCTGTAAGTTATCTTTGACTTGAATGGTTGATACAGTTCAGTGTTTTAAAGATGCATTTTATTTTTTAGCCTGTTTAGGTTATTCCCCAACAAGTTATGTAGGCTTTTTGATGATAAAGTGGCTCCTCATTTTTTTTTTTTTTGCCTTTCACCCTTAAGAAAAGCAAGGAAGAACGGCTGAAATGACCTTTCTCCGCTAAAGGTCAGTTCAGCCGTTTGTATCTGGGGTCCCATTCATATTGTCATGATCCAGATTTCACAACCACATATCCTTCCTCCAACGTGGAGAATGGTGAATAAAGGCCAATTTATGCTTCGGACACATAGCCTCTGCAGCCATCAAATGTGTGTCTGTCCATCACCTCAAAAAAATCCTGACTACGCAATGGACGGTCTCAAACTCGCGCAGACCTCAAGCGGAAGTGTGCAGACAAAAAGCACCTGTGATTGGTCCTTGGTATTCCATTCCGGCTGTCTGTCTGGTAGTTCTTCTCGATCAGGTGCCGTGGTGCGCCATTTTTAAAAACCGAGGAGCTTCGGAAGTACAACCACTTGTGCGATGCTTCAGACAAATTATATAAAGATGCCAAGTTCTTTGCCAATACGAAGTTCTCGTGACCATCTGCCGAAGGCTAGGCTTCCCCTAGCGCTTTTGCAGGAAGCTGCTGTGCGTCCCTAGAAATGCCAGACCGACGGTGCAGAAGCATACCAGCAAAACTGGTTCGCGACCAGACGCAAGTGACATTTGATATGTGCGGTTGCAGAAGTCTAATCTGCCCTTAAGCCAACGTGGTAATTACAACTAGTGTGCTGATCCCCTTTTTTTTATTTTGTTAAGCTTTGATGGGACATTGCTTTTACCCATTATAGTTGAAACTTGGACACAATGTGGTTGTTCAAGCAGGAAAAAAATCCCAAACCACTTGTAATGCTTTTGGAATTAAGCGATCGGGATAATGTTAAGATTCTGGAATGAGCTCAATCATGTAGGAAAATTGTAGACTGCTAAATGTGGGTCTCCCGCAAATGATAAAAGTTGAATTCTACCAAACCTGCCTAGAAAACCTTTACATACTAAACTGTTAAAGATGTCATGTTGTATATCTTCAATCCTATATCAAATATCCAGCTAGCCTTATACTAGAAGCTTCTAGGCGGCTACAGCAAATGTGTGTAATTGTCACATAGGAGGGAGCTGGTTCAATTCATCAAAAAAAAAAAACTCAAAAGTTTGCATTCATAGCAGTGATGATTGTTTTTTTTGTTTGTTTTTTTTTAACTGCCAATGCATCAGTTTTTGAATAATTGTATCTGCAATGCATCTAAAATCCAAGTTTTTTTATTGTTGATCTGATGGTATTTTTGTTCTCACCTGCAGGTTGGAGAGGATTACACTGTTCTTGTACGGAGCTGTTTCTCTGTATTTTGGAATGCCCTTTCTGCTGCTAAAGAAAGGAAATTACCTTGCCCGAAAGAAAATCTACACTTGCAGCTGCAAGCAGGGAGCTTCCTACTGTTGCTTGACTCTGAACCTGCAGGTCCTGCTTTCTCTAAAAGCTCAGCATACATGAGTGATGCCATTTCTGTGTTTAACAGTACCTGCAGCCCGCTGACCACAGAGGATGCATCTTTTCTCCTGAAAGAAATGGAAGCGGTTTTCAACAGAGCTTTAGCTTGCAGTCAGACCTGTAAAGGAGGGGTGGAAAAGAAAGCTTTGGAGATGTCACGTTTGTATGTGATTTCTGAAACGATGCTGCTTGTAGTGAAGTCAGTTTGTAAGGCTGGTCACCACAGTCTAGCCTACACCTTCTTAGATGAAATTGAGAAGAAGATTTTGAACTGCATTGGCTCTCAGTGGATACCGCTGGTTCTTGGCAGATGGGGAGTAAAGATTCACTCATCTCTGACAGCTGGCAAAGAAGGTGGTCAGGCTTTCACAGAATGTGCTAGAATCCTGAGGGCTCTGTCAGCTGAGGTGGGCCACAGCGAGTGTCACGCAGTTCTTGAAGGTTGTAATCTGGTGATATGGGCTGTTGGAAGCGGACGCAGCAAAGGCCTAAGTGGACTAGAGCTGCTTGCTCTGTTTTCTTTTCTGGAGGAGCATCAAGAGTGGTTAATTAAAATGCTTAACAAGGTTAGTGCTACCTGTATAAAGTTTAAAAAAAACCTGTATTCCTAATGTTGGTAAAAGATGAACACAAAAAATAAGATTTTTTATTTATTTGCTTTCTTAGAATTCAGAATATCAGGCTGAGGGCAGCAAGCTGCGAAAGTCCCTTTACTCGTGCCTTTACCACAGCTTCGTGTTTGCCAATGGGAGCATGGTCACATCACAGGTAATTTGTTGGATTTCTTGAAATGGCAAAAATGTTAACTGGTCGTCAGATTTTGGAATATATGCAGTAAACTGTGTTTGATCTATTTTAATGCATTTTTTTTTTTTTTTTTTTTTTTTTTAGAAGCTCTGACAGGAAAGACTAGTTGATGCTGATGCTTCTTTAAAATTTAACTTGCCCCAAAATCAACTTTTTTGCATTTAAACGGTCTATGGTGTTCCATTTTAAAGGCACTGGCCTCTTTTTACACTTACATTTGAGACTTACTAGTTCTTTGATATTTGTCCCCTGGTGCGATTTGCTTTACGTATGAATTATAACCTGCCTCAGCCTAACCCAAATACAGAAAGTTTCAAAGTCGGTTTGGACTTGGCAAAACACCGTAGTAGTAAACATGGAATCAAAGTCAAACCCATTTTGCTGTTTGTTGCTTACCAGGACTGTTGCCAACAAACTGTGGATCTCCCTCTGCTTAAACGACACATCTGCTGACACAGTCCCTAGTTAATGTCTCGTAATGTACATATAAAACACGCTGCTTTTGACAACAGATGATTTTGGTACTGTTATTATAGCATAAATATGCAAAATAGAGGTGCTGCAGGAAGGACTCCCATTGTAGTTTTCCTTTATTTGCAGTTTGGTGTTCTATCCCGCAGTATTTCTTTCTAAGCCATTAGAAGCACTGAATGCGTGGCTTTGTTGGGAGTTATAGTCCACTTGCAAAATATACATTTTAACTATGTCCTGAACCTAACAAATAATAATTCCTCCCATGGTTTGGAAAAATGAGCAGACCAAACGACCTTTCTTGTGCGAATATACCCTTAAACTGCAAGAAAAGTACCTTGAAGCGAGCAGCTTGAACTGATAACACTGAGCTACGCAAAGACTCTTAACCTTCTGTGTTGAGGGGGTTCGTGGGAGACTTTGGTATAATTACTAGTGTTCCTCCCCTCACCAGCTATGCTTTAATAAGGCTAGGCTAATTTAGGACACACTTATTAAAGGGTAAAAAAAAAAGTTTTAAATCCAGGATCTGTGTTTATATCTGATCTGTTGTACCTAGTTGGAGGACAGTGAAACGCTGGACAGGGTTCTGCTCTACTGCCAAGCAACAGCTGGGTTGCTGATGAATGAACTTCACAAGTTGTCTAATGAAAGCCTTCTGAACGAATCAGGTGGGTTTTATTTCTAGGTTTTTAAAAGGGTTTTGTCAATGTGACTGTCTTTGAAATTGTTCCATCATTCGTAACCAGCTGTACATGTTTAATCAATGCTGCTGTTAATACTGTGTTTTATAGTGACTGCTGTGAGCAATATGGCTTGTGGGATGTACAAGAAAGGCCTCTATGAGCAGGCCTTCACGCTGGTGGAAATTGTCTGTAGAGCTGTGTGCAAATATTTCCCAAGCCAACTTTCTGCTGACAGGGTGAGTTTGTTGGATGGGATCTGTTTTACTAGACACTTGTGTTCATGTATTTGGTTAAAAATTTGTTTTTTTGCAAAACAGTTAAAACTACCCTTCATGCTGGCTGTGCAAACTTCCCGGCGGGCTGGACAACTAGAACGAGCGCTAGATTGGGTCATCCTGTGGCTGAAGGCCCTTGGGGACCAGATCACCACTCACATGGCTGAACCTGTCTCCTTTTGGGTCAAAATAAAGGGTGATGGTGCACTTAACAATAACGAGGACTTAAGACTCAGGTACAGAAAAGTATTAAAGTAGCTTCTCTTAACCTCAGCTTTAAATCAATTACTTATATTTTTTGAATATTCATCGCTTTAATAAAAAAAAAAGTTAAACATTTTGACAGGTCCAAAATCTAACTGTACTTCTACGGTAGTTTTCTGATAGCTTCGATACAAAGAGGTTCTGTACCAGTTGAAGTAGTAGGATGAACTCACATTAGACATAGATCAATGGTTGCTGGATCCTAGTAGCTCTGCCACAGTGCTGAGAAATGTTAGATTTCTCAGATTCAGTCCGAAACAGAAAAGCAAAAAAATGATTGTAAACATCTGTTAAGCATTAATTGTAACTCAAGGAAGAAAAGGGCTCAGGTGTTGCTGCTTTCCTGAAAAGCAGCAACTCCTGAGCCTTTTGAGGAAAGTTAAACGTTTGCTAAAGCTATACATTTACTAAAAAATTATGCTTTTTTTTTTTTTTTCAGTAAATGTATAAACATAAAAAAAGAAACGATGTGTACTTGTTTTTTCTTAAGGACGTTACGGGATGGTTTTGGTCCTGACATTCCTGAGGAGAAAGTCATGCTGTGCCTTTTGGATGAAGAGTTGCGTGCCTATAAGGAGTCAACAAAGGACATGGCTCAAGAACGTTACAACACACTCTGTGATTTATTGGAGATATGCCACGAGGAGAGCTCCTATTCCCATCTACGTGCTGTCTACCTCTGTGAAATGGCACAAGTGGTGTGTTTCCAGGACTTCAGCGAGCAAACTGACTGGTAATTACTTTTATTACAATGTTAAAATGTAATTTACAACTGGATTGTTTTTACAAATTGACTAAACTGGATTTGTTTGTTCGGTTGTTTTGTGTCAACACAGCATGGCAGTTGATTTTACCCATGAAGCTTTACGACTTCTTGATGAAGAACCAGAGACTCCAGAAAATGCTGACAGGCTGAAAGATGATAAAGCACAAGCCTTACTCTGGCTTTATATCTGCACTTTGGAGAAGAATATGCAGGAGGTAATCCACTCTTTCTGGATGTCATCCTGGCATATTTTAACTTTTCTGGAAATGAATGTTTCGTTGGTGTTTTAATTACCTTGATTATGGCGTCAAATTCAGAAGGCAACGCACACGCCTCACCTAGCAATCTTAGCTGAGCTCAGCCCCTCACCTAGAAACTACAGTAAAGAAAAACTCTACCATAAATACATTACATCTTGCATTGAATTTATTATTATTGGAATAAACACATGCACATATCAACATTGACTTTAATAAATGGTAAAAATGTGAATACAATCCACTTACACTGAACTGTAGCTGAAAAGATGGACAACCAGGAGTTCCCTTGGGGCAAAGTTGCATTGAAAATTGGAAAAGGATACTACTTTTATAAATGTCTTGATATTTTTTCCTCATTCTTCTGACCTAAAACTATTGAAACCCTTACTAGATTTACTCTTAAAAAACAAAACAAAAAAAAAACACGACACAGGCAGACATTTTAGAGTTGTGAAGATTAAACAAGACAGTATAACCTTGCAGAAATATTGCATTCAGCATTGCCTTGCTATTTTGTGCTGCAAGATGCATCAAGCACTTTCTGACTCCGAGGTGGCTGTGCAGAGGGAAATGCTAACGGAAAAGTCAAACATTGGCATGCTCTGTGGTAGTAATTCATCTATACTTAAAAACTAAACAAACAGTATGATAGAAAGTTTTAGCTATTCTGAAAAGGGTTACTTTCAAAACCTTGATGCCAGTAACTGGCCCATCAGCAATTTGGGCTTGAGCTTTGGCTAAATGCTCCCTAAACCTTTCTCATAGTGGCTGTTTACACTTTTTTTTTTTTTTTTTTTAGGCCATTGAGAGCGATAGAAAACGGAGAGAGCTCCAAGAAAATACGCTGTGTGTCACTGATCCTGTGGGCAACAATGATTTTGATTATGAAAACAAGAAGAAGACACAAGAGAGTGCTCTGTTGTACGAAGGGCTCAATTTTAATCTAAATGCTGAAAAGAGTAAGTCTTCTGTTATCAATCTGATAATTTTTCTTTTTCTGTCCTTTGTAGAACATAAATAGTCTGTTTATACTTTTAAAACCTTTTCCGTTTTCCCTAGAAGTCTGTCTGTCCTAACATATGTCTTGTATGTAATCTATTTCTGCTGTCCCTCCCTTTTAGAGCTGTGTCAGCCACTGGAGCAGGCTCTGACCATTTGGACTGACCTTTTTAAGAATCAAGCCATGCCTGGTGTTAGAAACACCAAGCAGACCTGCAGCTCTCTATCTATAGCTGCAGCTCTATTCAGACTCATTGGAAAGGTAACAACAGCAAATGTATTTAAAAAATATGGCTTAGTGTCTCCTTTGCTTATTTTCCATTAAACACAAAAAGGACAATGACTTCATACATAAAATAGGTTTTTAGATATAGATCATTAAATTTGAATAACAAATAAAACAATAGAAATACTGTGAAAAATGTATACATGTTCATTATCAATTGTCTTGTTTTTTTAGCAGTGTGTATTTGTTTTATTTTTAGGTTTATTAATCTCAGCTTTATGCAGCATGCTTTCAATTTTTAATCTCTACTTTTAAAAGAAATGTTATTTTAAGGTTGCATTTATAGTTTGTTTGCATTTATGAATGGTTTTGATTATAGAAATCTTTTTTTTTTTTTTAAACCATCAAAGCCACTGAAGGCTTTGGAGGCGTACCAGCTTGGAATAAAATTTTCCCATGAACTTGCTGATAGCCGTAGTTATGCTGCCGCTCTCTGTCAATCTGCCAGCATTCTCCTGGATTTGGGCTCTCCTGAACTGGCTCTGGTAATTCACTTTTTATGATCATCCCTAATGTAGTTTGCATATAACACGTCTAATCCATATCTTATTTAATTTAAATCTCAAGGCCCAGATAGAGGAAGCTGAGAAAACACTTGCTTCTGAAACCACCGATGATGGTCCTTCAGCCCTTTTCATGCTGGTTGTCTTGTTAAAGGCTCAGTACTTCTACATCACAGGACAAGTGTGTGATTGTTGAATACTATACTAGCTTCATCGCTCAGTTTAATGTTACTGATGGAGCGCTTTTGTTCATGTTTTAGATCAGTGAGGGAGTCCCTTATCTGTGTCAGGTGCTTAAAGAAGTAAATAACCAAAAACCGTCTAAGAGCTGGTACCTGCTGCGTGCACAGACTCTGCAAGCCCTCAGCTCTTATTTGAATTTAGACATTGTTCAACTGCCACAAGCCCAAAGAAGCCTAATTGTGCAGCATGGTGAGTGAAAGTATTAATCACCTTTTTTTTCTTCCCTCTAAATGTCCTCACATTTTAGTTTTCTCTACAAATGTTTAGATGCAAGATTAATTGCAATACTTACACTTTTTCATTCTAGAAATGTAATCACCAATGTCTTTTCTTCTGATTTTATGATACATTTGATTTATTCAAATGAAGTGAGTCAGAAAATTTGACATTGTTTTCATAAATGTTCTGTCATCAGAGTGAGAAAACCTTAGGTTAGAGAGCACATTGATGAGCTAAGGCTCGGAAGGGGTCAGTTTCCACAGTGATCATAAACTTGGAGTATATATTGTTGGGGATTTATGCAAACATACTATTTCATTGCATGCATGTATTCAATTCACCACTGTATCCAAAGCAGGTTGAATTTTGATAGTATGCATACGACTGTATATGTTCTCCATCAACCTCATAACTGCAACAGTTTAGTTTAATCTAACTCTGTAATGTCAAAAAAGGCAAATGTTTGATGCTGTAAGGTTGTTTTTTTTTTTTTTTTGTATGTGTTTCTTCAAACCAAAAAATCCATTTATGTTTATCTTAGGTATAAGTTCCCCTGATTCTTCCCTATATGAGGCATTGAAGCTGCTCTGTAGCCTGCTGGTAACTTTAGTGGGAAAAGGCCTTTATGGGAACACATCAAATAACGCAGAAGTGCACTTCATCCATCAAGGTATGATTTAAATTTTGTTTCTCCACATTAGGACTCTCCTCCTGTTTGTGTTTGTCCTTTGTTAAGAACAGCCCCCTCCCAAGCTTTCTTGTTCTTAACTAGGAGACAACCTTGTGGTGAAGTGGCAGCTGCTCTCACAACTCCTGAGCTGCTCTGCAAAGCTGGTCGCTGTGAGACGCAGCTCTGGGGCCATTAACGATGCCAGACTCCAGTGTTTAGAAGCCCTAAAGCTAGCCATCAAGCTACAAGCACTCAACCAGTATGTAGATGGGTTCATACACCATGCTCTGATATAACCTTCTATCTTAAAGTTTTATTAGGTACAAGTAATGCAGTAAATTCTTAATGCAAATAAGTTTCATTTTTTTGTTCTTTGTTTTGTTTTTTTAAGCTGTGTTGAGCTCTTGGTGGTTAAATCAGAATTGGAACTGATGCAGGGAGAAGCAGAAGAAAGTCGATCCAATCTGGATTTTGTCAAAACCATTCTGGAGCAAGACACGGGTATGTGAAAGCACCAATGCACCAGTTCAAATAGAGATTATGCCAAACCTAAAATAATTGGAATGTTGTGAGGAAGTTTTTTTTTCTGTCACACATTTCAGAATGAAAATTCATGATCTAGGTCCATTACACAGAATTAAGTTGTTCCAGCCTTCGTTTCTTTTATGTTTGACTATGGCTTAAATTAATAAACAAAAAAAATTAAGCCTGTCGGTAAATGAGAAGATCAAGCTGTTGCAGCCCTAGGAAGGTGAAATGTCTGCAGTTCCAGCTAGTAGGCAACAGGGAACTATGATCCAAAAAGCTGATGCCATAAACGATGGCATGTGAGGAACAGCCCTGGATGCGTCACAGGTGTGATTCTGTTGATAAAATTACTAGAACTATGCTTTGGCAAAGGGAACGTTCAGGGCTTTCAGCACCACCCTCTGTCGGTCAGCAGGGATGAAATGTTTCTTCTACCTCTGTCTTTGCAGTGTTTCCAATCCAATTATTGTCAAATAAAGGCCTGTAGTGAAGCAAGAAACCTTTACATTACTTTTGTAAAGTTCTTATGCATTTTAACACTTATTGTTTTCTAGTGGTTTAAATCTCAATATAATCCTGAATCTGCCTTCTTTTAAAGAGATTTCAATGATTTTTGTGAATTTTTGAAAAGACACACCCTCTCCACTTAAAGAAAAATAAATAAATGTATATGTGCAACTCTGTACCAGCTACCGAGAGGGAAAGCGTGATTTTTGCTGAAAAGTTAAATCTTAGTTTCCGTTAAAGTTCCACATACTCCACATCAAAAAGATTTTTCCCTGGCTACTCTTCCTTGTGTCAACTAGTGGTTCAGAGTGAAATGTAAAGATAGAAAACGCCACATATAGTGCTATAGCATGTCCTTGGTTCTTACAAAATCTTTCTATGAATTCATATTTGACCTGCCCCAAGTTTTAGGTGTATTTTTAGTTCACATTGAAAATTATTTTCTTTCCTTTTTCCCTTAGATTTGTCAGATCAGGTCAAAAGGACAGATGTTAAAATTAAACCAAGAAAAGGTCGTCCTGCTCAAAGACCTCAGTCCCCAGTTCCATTCATGGAAGATAATCTGAAGGAAGATGATCTAAAGGACTTCTTGAAGACCAGGTGGACTGTTAAAGAAGTTGTATTGAAGAGCGTGGGCTCTTCCCCTCCATTGAAAGCCCCAACTCTGCGCTGGCTCTCCTCCCTGTCCCATGAACTGGGTTGTCAATTGCCCTGCTGCTCAGAGCCATGTTTAGGTCACGCCTCTGCTCGCTGGGCAGCCACACGGGCAGACCTTTCTATTCAGCTTGAGCCAAACAACCTCAGCATTCCTTCAAAACTTCACTGGGCAGCCTTAGTTCGCTGTAAAAATGTAACAAGACAACTTCAAGAGAAGCTGGCTCAGCTCTTCCCTGACCCTGCAAGAAGCAGCTCCAAACCCTCCCTGATGCAGGACGTGGAGGGTCGTGTATACCTGAGTATGGCTCAGACTGAACTCCAAGCAAAGGCCAACAAGGTCTGTGGCTTATGGAAAATACTAGAAGCTGCCTTTGCCTTCCTTGATTCCACAGTCTCTCCTGACCTTAGACCTGTAAGAGCGCATTTGATGGCAACCAAAGCCATGGCATCACTTATGGTTTTGGCTGCAAAAAAAGGCTGCCGACCCGAGGAACTATTTTCAAACTCCTGGGTGTGGAATACACCAAAGGAGCACAAGGGAATCAAGTCAGAGCAGAAATCAGCTCCACCCTCCAAAATAAAAAAGCCCAAAGCTTCTTTAAAACAACCCGATATTGCAGAGCAAAAGCAGGAATCAAAAAAAGTCAATGCCGTCAAACCCAAAATTCAAGTTACTAGCTCCTCAACTAAAGGAAAGGTCCATGTTCCCATGACACCTGTAACTGCCAAGTCCAAGTCTGCTTCTGGAGTTTTTGATTTCAACACAGCTGTTCCTACTTTGGCTTTCACTCCTGTTCAGAAGGTCAAATGTCCTGCTTCAGTGCAGAAGTTACCAAGAGCTCCTGTCAAAGTGCAGTTTCAAGTGTATGAAGAAGTGTCAGATAAGGTCCCGCCAGTGCCTGCTGCTCCCAAACGAACAAGGAAGGCACGCTACAAGGTAAGCAAAAAGAGGTCTTAAATAGTCTTTATAAAATTAAGTTTATTTTTCACTTTAGAATCTCTCAACCTTTTTAAAACATTCATAGTCATATTGGTTTTTATTACACTTGCATACTCTAAGCAACCTTTGTCTTGTTTGCTGTATCTGTCAAAGTAAACGAAATAAAAGCTTTGTTTCATTAAAAGCTGTCTGTAAATCCCATCACAGGTAGAATTCAGTGATGAAAGTGACTCAGAAGCAGCTCCCCAAGCACAGTGCAAAGGGCCTGATGAAGTCCCTAAAAAGCAAAGCAGTAGAAGAGCTAATGCTAAAAAAACTGTGAATCCACCTGCAGAGAAGGTCGCCCCCAAAAGGCAGAGCAATGCAAAAAGGAACGTCACTGTGCCTTCTCTGACCTCATCTGAAGACGAGGCTTTGCTCTGTAAGCCAGCAGCATCTGGCAGAAGAGGAAGAAGCCGAAAACAGCCATCTAAGACCGAGGACACCCTGGAAGAGCCTGACTCCATGAGGACCATTGTGGAAGAAACTGGGGAAGTTCTCGATATAAGCATTGAGCAGCTCAGGACATCAGATGCTGAGGAAGAAGGAAATGCAGCAGCAAGTAAAGACAGTATGTATCTAGTTTTCATCATTTGAGACAATTTCATGCTTCTCTTTTCTGCCATCTCTGACCCCACTTTAAACTTTTTCATTTATTCAGGTTTAAATTGTTTTCAGCAGAGCTTATTTGTTGGAATCGTGTCTTGAACCAAATTTCTGTCCTCAGACTTTGACTGCGAGGCGCTGCGGAGGGATATATTCTGTTTTGGGAAAGAAGGGGTGTTTGAAAAGAGGCACATTGACCACCTAATACAAGAGCTACCAACTAGCATCTCTCACACAGACAACGGACCAGGTAGGGGACTCTGATATGCTTTTTTATTACACTGCTTTAACGCTTAGAAAAGGAAACTCAACAAGAATTTTTGACTATTAGAATAAAGGTGGCGTGATAGAAATGTCACTGTTGAGAATATTGGAGCGCTTTATTTAGTTTTTCTTATTCCTGTTCCTCAGACGATCTCTCCTTTGAGGATGTTCAGTCTCTGCTGCGCTCAGCACTGCTGACTCTGCAGCACTTCCCCTGTCCAATAGTCTACTCAAACCTCTGTGCTCTCCTCGCCTTGACCACGGGTCAGAGTGACCCTATAAGTACAGCCTTATTGCACGCCCAGTCTTTGGGAGTCACCAATCGTCATCGTACAATCCGCCATATATACAATTCTCGCCAGTAAGTAGATTTTAGATTGATTTAACTTCTAATTTATTGGCATTTAAACTTTCTAGTTATTGTAAGGAAAGAATTTAACATTATGTTTTTCTTATAGTAAACTGAAGAAGGCATCCAGTGATTTAACAGAACAAATGGAGGCTCTGACTGTAAATGAGTCTAGTGGGACTGCGTCCTTCACTTCTACTGAACAGATGCTGTCTCAGATGGAGGAAATATTTTCCTTCCCCACTGCAGATCTCGGTTCTTTCCCCCAGAACCTGTGCCAAGAGTTTATCGAACAAATTCAACAGCTTCCAGCAGGTAGAAACAGTTTAAGCTCTGATATCTATTCTGCTAGAGTTCAGAGAATATTTACAGGTCTCCTACTTTTCTGCTGTTCATGTACAGGTGTAACTGTGTGTTTGATGTCTGTGCTTGGAGTGAAACCTGGGGAAATGGGGGAAAGCATAATGCTGTCACGTCTGGAGAAGGACTCTGCCCCCATCACACTTCATATCTCCACTTCTAGACAACAGGTTTGTCTGGTCATATGATTCGCTTTTTATCATTATTTTGTCATTACAACGGTTTTAAAAGTAAGAGCAGTTCAAAAAGAAAAATCACTTCTTTTATCTAAAATCTTTCCAAATTAATACAGAAATATTGGGCACAAACAGGAAATGTTTTAATTATAAACATATGTTCCAAGCAGATTTTATTACACTGTAAAGGACATTTTAGAATCTACCGAACAGTCCTTGGATAATTGGTGCTTTTTAAAACGAAGGGATGAAAAAAGGCACTCATGAGGCTTTTTTTGTGTTTAATTAAATGGATTAAAACATCACTGACAAATGGACTAAACCAAATACACATTCGTTGTTGAGGCTGTTTTTGTTACTAGCATTTCTTTAGTTAACAGGGTTTTTAGAATTGTTCTAACCATAAGTTTGGGTGATGAGGCCGGAAGCTAAAAAGATTGGGAACGCCTTTTCTATAAGGTCTCTGTTTAGTACTTTTAAAGTATATCCTGAGCTTTCCTCTGGTAACATAAGACTCCCTGTTGCTGTTCTTGGCCATTATCAGAAACTCTTCACTTTAACTCCATGGCATCACATCCATTCAGATCTCTCTGCCTGCTATAGTGATTCATTTGTAGGAAGTTTTCTATTTGATTTCATTTTTTTTTGTGTGTGTGTGTGTAGCTGAACATTAGATGCCTGGTGGAGGAGATGGAAAACATCTTGGCAGAACAAAATGTTGTGAGCTGCGTCCTCGACAAAGCAAAGTGGTGGGATGGCCGCCGAGCTCTTGACTGTCGAGTTCAGGTAAGGGATTACCACTGAGAGGTGCTGCTCATTCGCCCAATCTATTCATTGAGGTGACTTCGTCCCTGATGCCAAATGCAATCATTAGATTAGAGATTTATTTAGCAAATAATAGTCTCCATAACCAAAAGCAACTGTGGGGTTCTTTGTGATCAATTGATTTCACATGAAAGTTAAAGTACTCTGCAATCTTTCAGCAACTGTTAAAAGAAATGGAGAGTTTGCTCGGATGCTGGAAGAGCCTATTTTTACCACCTTCACTGGATCCAGGGCTCTCCAAACAGGCGAAGGAGCTCAGCAAGGCTTTATTGAAGAGAGGAGTCAGTGTTAGTGAGGAGATGTTGAAGGTATGTTTTAGTTTGTTGTTTTTTTTTTTTTTTGTACCATCTTGTTGGTTTAAAAGCAATTGTTTAAAAAAGATGTATGCTTTTTTTTTTTTAAGGTTGTGCTTTCAGCCTCTTTGTCCCTTTCTGAAGAAGACCTTAGAAGATTTGGATCAGGATTTGCTCCTAATTGGGACACAGACTGTGACCATCTTTTTCACAAAGCAGCGTCTCAGCTCTCTGAGAGAAATGACACCAGAGGCCATGTGGTTCTTATTTTGGACAAGGTGAGTTTGAACACAAGGCCGGCTTTATGCTGCTCAGACATCGAACGTGTTTAATGCTTGCCGACCTGTGTGTATCGCAGTACCTTCAAAAGCTGCCATGGGAGAGCATGTCCTTCCTAAAGTCTCGCTCTGTTAGCCGGATGCCTTCACTGCATTCTCTGATCAGGCTGAACCTTCAGAGGGAGGTGAGGTTGAGATTATCGGTGCTGATCCCCTTCCTGGATCAACATTTATGATTTAACGCAGCTAATTTCCTTCCTCAGATGGATTCTTCTATCTTGAAAAGCGGAGTGGATCTGCAGAAGGTATTTTACGTGCTGGATCCTGATGCCAATTTAAAAAATGCTCAGGAGCATTTCAAGGAGTGGTTTGCCAGGTGAGACAAACATTGAAGAAGTTTTTGCTTAAATGTTCTGTCCTTTAACTCGTAATCCTAATAACCTTTTGTTTTTGAAGTAAACCCGACTGGCAGGGTGTGTGCGGCGTCGCTCCTGAATCAAGACAACTAGAAGAAGCTGTTTCCTCGAAGGACCTCTACATGTGGGTTTGAGAGGAAGTCATGTTTATTTTCTTTAGATACAAAACCAAAACTATTGGATACATTTTTCAAGCCCAAGTTGACTGTAGGGAAGAAAAACAAAGGACTGCTGCTTGTTTTTTCAGCCTTAGATTTAATATTTCTAAGAAAGTAGATTAAGAAGAGTCATTAAGCTAAATCTGTAGAAAATTGATGAAACTCAGGAGGTAGAAATGATGCAGATGCTGCTCATTAAATAAACATTATGGGCGTTTCTGGTTGATTGGTTTGGGTTTGTTTTTCATAATCTGATATTTTCCTGTTCTTGCTTTTAGCTATGTGGGACATGGCGCTGGAGTGAGGTTCCTGGACAGCCAGGCGGTCCTCAAGCAGCAGATGAGAGCAGCTTCGCTGCTTTTTGGCTGCAGCAGTGCCGCTCTGGCTGTTAGAGGCAATCAGGAGGGACAGGGCATCATTCTGAACTACCTCATATCAGGATGGTGAGACTGCAGCTTCTTATACTTCTATTTTCATGCAGTGTGATTAACAGGGTTCTCCCTATACATGTGTTGGTTTTCTACTGGTTTTCTGGTATCCTTTTTCTCTCTAGTTTGCCGTTTTGTAGTGTCTGTATGGCTGTTTTGTTTATGTGTTAGTGGACTGGTGATCTGTCCAAGGTGTACCCACTCTAACAAATGATGACCCTGCAAAGACAGACTGGTATAAAGGATGGATGGCTTCTTTATATCATAAAACCATTAGTTGGTACTCCAGGGTCTCTGGGAAGCTTTAGAGGAGTTACATTTACTTGAAGCATCTTCAAAGTATAGAGAATAGTGTAAAAGTAGTCTTTATTCAATAGAATATTAAATTCTATTCTACTGTCCCTTCATTTGTCTGGTTTTTAATCCATTCTTCCATCTTTACTTTTGCTCTTCTTCATCCATCCAGTGGTCCTTACCTCAAAATAACCCTACCCCTCCGTTTATCCGTTTCTACCTTATAAATGCATTTTGATTTAGTTTTGCTTATTATACATCTTGTGAAAAATGAAAATGATTCAATTTTTGCATTCATTCTTTATCAGGAACTCTGTAAATTAGCCCCTTCCTTTCACAAAAAGATAACTATAAACTATAAAATAAACATTTAAACTTAAATTCTCAGTGGATGGCTGTGACCTGAATCATAAATTTTCCCTTTGTTTTCTTTCTAGCCCCTTCATTTTGGGCAACTTGTGGGACGTAACAGATCGGGACATGGATCGCTTCACCAAAGTCCTGCTGGAGTCTTGGTTTTGTGCAGGTCCTGGGGCACCTCTGCTGGAGTTCATCGATGCCTCACGTCAAGCGACACACCTTAAATACCTCAACGGAGCAGCACCTGTGGTCTATGGGCTGCCAATTAACCTGCAGTAGGACCACCAAGCAATAAATACATTTTGCTCCTGAGCTCTATCTTTTATCCAAACCCGTTTTTAAAAATATTGTTAAATTTTCCAGTAATGTTTTAAAGCTGAATTCCCGCATTTATTTTTTTCATTTTGATAAATGAACTCGCATATTAAGTATTGTTTTTGATTTAGAGAATTTTACCATTTCGAATGGAGGCATGCATGTAGCTTTAAGCCCCTTTGAATTGTGCAGTTATGCATTTTAGTGAGCTGTGATCTCATTCTGTTTGTGGCTGACCACTAAACTGTCAGGAATTAAAACTTCCCTTCATGTGTTTTTGCAAGAGTAATGGATATGCTCTAATTACCAATAGCTGCTGGTTGGTAAAATATGCACTAATGGTTGCTAATATTTCTTTTTGTAAAATCTGAAGCTATTTTTATTAAATCTTAATCTGGTTTTGGGGTCTGCAGGTGTGGCTTTGGACCATGATGTTCAGGATTATTTTGCTAATTTAATAAAGTGCTGATTTAAAACCTGGTTTGGCCACATGGTGGCAGTGTCTCAAATCAGTTTAGTCAGAAGCATAAAGTTATTTGCTCTGCATGGCAGTAAATCTCACAGTGACCTGAATTTATCACATAAACCCCAGTCTGACAAACCTAATTAGTCAAATTAAAAGGATTTTATTTAAAAATTTATAACAGGGGTCTTTGATTCCAGTCCTCAATGCCCTGCCCCCTCAGATAAGTAAAGTCAAACATTTGGGTCATGAGCAAAGTTATAATTTTAGATCTTTAATTCTAGTTTTGAGTTGTAACAATTTTTTTCTCTAATTCAGTTAATAAACAAGGCCTTTCTAAATAATGTAAAGTTTATTAACTATTTTGATATTAGATTTTAAGTTGGGTTTTCATTTGTTTTTGTTCCTATTTTGGATTTGGATTTTATTTTTATTTTTTTTTCAGAAAAATTATTTAAAAGTCTGAAATTGTATTATAAACAATTAGGATACAGATTTCAAAAATTTGTTCAATCACAGTTGACTGAACCCTTTGGGGGAAAAAAACATTGCACATCAGCTTGAAAGGCTTTTAATAAAGAAGCAAAAATGAAGGGTATAAACATTTGGTTATAGTTTTTCGTAGTTACAAAATTTTCTCCACGTTTCATGTTATAGATTTGTTTTTGTGAACTATAATTCCCTGAGAAGTTTAACTGGATGACTTGACTACATGTGGAGGAGGAGGCAATGTAGCCATTTGATTCGGCTGTGTGGAAGCAGAGCCATCTAAAAGGTATGAACATTTGAAGTTATATTTTTAATGTATAAAGCTGATTATAGGGTGACACCATATTTTTCTAATATGTTTACATATACATTTTTAAAAATTGGCATTTTGTGAAATGTTGAATTGTGGGTTTATATGTAAGCGATTATTGAAACAAGAAATAAAAGCTAAAGGAGGTGGGGCTAGTTCCTGGTTTCTTAGCCGGTGTAACTGGACTTCTAGCTGCAAAGACATGACAGCTGCTTGTTCCAGTCACTCAGAGCTATTCAGAGGACTAGAGTGTTATCTGATTAGATTTTTCCTCCCATGTTGAAGATGTTATTTTCCATTTCTTTAATATACTGGGTGATAAAATTAGAAATAATTGAAAATTGGTCTAACCTTTATTGGGAATGGCATTTATGAAATAACATTTTAACCCAAGAGTCCAAAACTTCACGTTATTTTTCAATCACACTCTGTTTATTCAACCGTACAGGTTTCTATACTTTCATTTGAACATTTTCTATCTTGTTTTTAACAAACCCAATTCTAAAACCTCAGGGATGTGTTTTTAATGAATACAATTTGACCACAAGGGGGCAGTATTTCAAATATCGTTGTGGCTCCATTTTTACTCGGACGAACAAGTGATGGGTCTACTCCTTAACAGTCAACCGGTGCATGACTTTGGTAAAAGCTGGCAAGGAGGAGTTCATAGAGAGGAAAAAGTATTTAGCCGCCAGATCTGTGATAACCATTTTATTAAACAACATTGTAACGGAAATATAAGAAAAAAATGCCTACGCTACTAAATATTCGACAGAGGTTGATGCATATTATGTTTTTTTATATCGGTTATCACTATCACAACGGGAAAAAAAAAAATTATATATATATATATATATATATATATATATATATATATATATAATAAAGAAAATTATCACGTGTGTTTTCACCTTGAGACCAAAAACTCGGCGCCTTTTATATTTAAAAGCTGAGCTCTTGGTATCCATCTGAAGATGTGTCCCCACTCCGCCACGGCGGCGCGGTGCTCTCTGGGTAAATAATGGTGCGCACCCAATGCGGTCCTTTTACTCATCACGCTTCCAATATGGCGGTGAATCTCACAGACCTCTCCCTTCCTCAATTAGAAGGACTGAAGAGCCAACTGGACCAGGTATTATTTTGTTTATGTCATTGGAGATGCGTATTTACATTCCACACGTCCTATACAGAAGCATTTACCAGGGTTTAAGAAAATCGACTCACTGCCCTGGGATTGGATGCCGTTGTTATCCCGTTAGCATGTTAGCACCATGCCTTTCTCGGGCTCATTTCTTTATGGTGATGTTTTGTTTCAGGAGGTTGAGTTCTTGACGTCTTCTATAAGTCAGCTGAAAGTTGCCCAGAACAAGTTTGTTGAAGCCAAAGACAGCTTGAACGTCTTGAACCCAAACAATAAAGGTGCGTAAGCTAGCAAATGGACTTCTAGAGAACATGCAATGCAATGCTTAGATTCTCGGGAGTACAGCTGGCATGGAGTTATAGTTTCTCTTTTGCTTATAACATTTACTTGTAACGATGCTTTCTTTGTTTTCCCAAACAGGAAAAGAGTTGCTTGTGCCTCTCACCAGTTCTGTATCCTTTTGAACAGCTTTCCTGGCTCTCACTAATCCTACACCAGGGGTGCTACAGTCCAGTCCTCCAGAGCTACTATCCTGCTACTTTTTGATGCGTCCCATTTTTATCACAGCTGAATTAAATGAGTGGCTCCTTACCATGCCTATGCTGAGCTAAATGAGGGGATTAAGCCTTTTGATTCAGCTGTGTAAGAGAAGAGATGCATCTAAAAGTTACTGCATGGCAGCTCTTGAGGACTGGACACCTGATCTACACAATCACCTGGACAGAATAACACGTGAAAACAAGTGCTTGGTGGAAAGAAATGCTGACATCACCAGTTGTCTCTAAATAGCATTGTTTAGTTATATTTTGTTGCATTTAATTGACATGAACTGTTTATATCTGGCAGTAAATGAATTAAAGGGTGATTTTCTAAAAGCCCTTACTGTAGCTTGTTTTGTCTGCTTTCTAACCCTCAGATTACACATCCTCCCACCCCGCCCCGCTCTCATACGTTGTGTGGAGCACTTGTGAAGTCATGTTACTCAATGAGAACTGTTCCACATCTACGTTCATCTTCTCCATTCACTGTCAATATACAGAGCCAAGCTATTTTTTTTTTTTTTTTGCTCTGGTCCGGCCAGATCAAGATCTGCAATTGCACCAAACAGGACAAAGATCAGATTTGTCAAATTGAAATATGGTAACAACAGATTGGTAACTACAAATTAGAGCATAATTCTTATATATTCCCAGAAATTAATGGCGTTTAATTCATTATTGGATGCAAACTATTGGTACTTCAACATACCGGAAAGCAGATCTCAATCAAAATATTAATTTTATACTGAGAGGCTTAAGAGTTTCATCAAATTCCAGTCACAACAACTTCCAATAGCTCATCTCACAACTTCAAAACAAACTTATCGCAGGCATGGATGAACAGATGCTGATTTGGAAGTAAAGAACAAACGGATTTTGTATTTTGTATGATTATTCCAAATACAAAGACCGTAAATTAAAAACTAATGGTTTGGGCAAAAACGTGTGTAATAGATGCTGATGGTGAGTTTTAATTATGTCAAATTTAGTGTTCATTACAGCATGGTTTTTCTCCTGTGATTGAAATACCGCTCCGAAGCGCACTTCGGAGTGGAGCAAGACAGCTGTAGGCTTTGCTTTATGCAGGCGGTCTGGAATGGAGCGGGGTGGTTACGGAGGATGCGGGATTTCTAGGTATCGCATTGATTTCAGCAGCTAACTGTAAGTTACCTGCTTGATATATCCCACCTGCTAACAGATGGGAGGTTGTTTTTTGACAGTCATCATATTGTTCTACCTAGTCATTATGTGTTCAAAGATGTGCAGCTTTTAGAGATCCTTCACCATTGATTCTACCCAGATGTATGTCCCTGGAATGTTAAACGATGTAGAACATGTCTTAGTGGATGTGGGGACCGGATATTATGTTGAAAAGGTGACATATTTTCTTTTCAGAGCATACCATTCACATCCATTGATAATAAAAATGAACATTGATCATGCATATTTGTTTTTTGTAGAATGTGGAGGACTCTAAAGCATTCTTCAAGCGTAAAATAGACTTCCTCACGAAGCAGATAGAAAAAATCCAGCCAGCTCTTCAGGAGAAACACGCTATGAAACAAGGTAAAATGAAGAATTTGTTTTCCCCCAGAAAGCTTGAGTTTATGGAGTCGCACTCGGATATATTTTATTTTTTTACCTTTTGAAGATGAAGCCAAGAAAGTGGTAAATCCGTTTATATATGATTAAACAAGAGACAGATGCAGAGCCAGGTTTCTTGGAGTAACTTAACTTTTTTGTGTGTTTATTTCTGGTATATTGATTTGAGTTTTGAAAAAAATTATTCGATTAAAAGGTGACCAATATTTAAAAAATAATAAAAATTTAAGGGCAAACGTGATGCTGTTTGGATGTTTTAAAACAGGCATCCCCAAACTCGGTCCTCATGGCCCCCCTGTCCTGCAGGATTTAGAGGTTTTCTTGCTCCAGCACAGCTGATTTTAATTGAAAGCTGATTAACAGGCTTTTGGTCTACTGCAATCATTATAACCAGCTGTGCTGAAGCAGAGAAACCTCTAAAACCTGCAGAACAGGGGGCCTTGAGGACCGAGTTTGGGGATGCCTGTTTTAAAACATAGCATACACCAATTTAAAGATTATTGTTAACTCACAACAAATGCTTCTGTGTTGCAGCTGTTATTGAAGTAATGAACCTGAAGATCCAACAATTACAACAGAGCCAACAGGCGTCACAGATGATTGGAAGCACTAAGGCCTAATCAGAAGACATGATTGAGCCATTTGGAATTAGAGACATTTTGAAGTTTATCCTCACAAGATGATCTAAAATGTACAATTCAGTTTAAATTGTTGGTGTGATAGTATTAGGAGGATCTCTTGTGTACTTGCAATAATTTCAATTGAATAAATTTGGTGTTACCACACTATATTTCCTGTGGCTTATTTATTCCAACTGGTGTTTTAAGTAACACGTCTGTCAAGTGAAGCTGTTAAACTTTGCTTAACTCCTTATTTTGGTGTCTGGTTTGTCTGTAGGCTTCATGATAGTCAAAAGATTGGATTTTCTAGTTGTTTTTTACTAGTGGGAAAACTAGATTTGTAACTTTGCCATAGCATTCCTGTTACTGTGGTCAGTAAGGTAGGTTTGCCTCACTAGATAAATACATAATTCATGAAAAGACAACACCCCTGTGCCCTATTGTTTCAGAAACATAAAAGGTTTTTAAAACAAAAATTTTAATTTTAGAAGTTTCCACATGTATCTTTGGTAACTGATCATTAGTAGAATTGCCTTTTTAAACTGTTTGCCTTGGATCAAATATTTCTGCCACTCCTTTGTTTCCCAATTGGATTTTTTTTTTTTTTTTTTTTTTTCCTGGGCTTGCAAGCTTCACACATTAGTTTGAATTTCTTCAGACCTCAGAGCATGACTCCAAGTTAGAGATCTTTGTCCCTGGGTGCGTTTGTAAATTCCTATCTGGTGTTTTATTGTTCTTTTAGGTATAGGCCTTTCAGCTGCTGTTTTTAAAGGCTTCTGTTAGCATCTAAACCTGTTTTGAGCTTTTCTTCTTAAGTTGCATGTTCACACAAAAACCCGTTTGCCTTTGGGGCACGTTTCCTTTTTCAATGTCACCATGACTGGACCTTCTTTTGTTGTGTTTTTTATATACTGCAGTAGAACAGATGTTTGAGGCAACTGCAAATTGTTTCCAGTGATTAACCAGGCTTGTGGACGTCTACATTTTTCTTCCTGACATCTTTGCATATTTTCTTTCAAGGCAGCAGTGTTTTGAATTAGGGCTTAAACCATATCAACAGGTGTGCCTGTAATTTAGTAATTTATCCAAACAATTTCACCTCCTAATTTATAATCTCCTTGACTCTTTTCCTATTTTAAAAAATTCTTTGACCTTGTTTAACCTTTGAAGCCTCTCTTATAACTGGAAAACTCAGAATTACACAGCAAAGCTGTGAAGGCACAGCATACAACACTAGTTGTTGGTACCACTACTGCAATAACTATCACAATAAGTATTGCTCATGTATGCTGAATGGATTTGGTGTACTGTGCATGTTTTTAAGAGTTGCAGGAGAAAAGTTATGGCATCAGTCAATTGTATGCAAATCACTACACTGTGGTCTAGAACAATTATTCTAGTAATGTATAATGTCAAACATTAAAGTTTTTATTGGGGTAAATTAATATTACATGATTATATTCTAGAATTTACCCATACACCCTTTGATTTAATAGCTCAGGGAATACAAAATCACATGGTGGATGACTATTTTTGGATCTAGTGAAGATTACAAATACAACAAAATAATTAAATTCATTGCATATTTTGCGTTTAAAAATTGAGAGGCACCTTCACAAACAAAAGTTGTAAAGTGGTTTGGTGGAGAGTCACTTAAGTAGATGCAGAACAGTTATATTTGAGTGTTCTGTATCCCCCAGTTTGACTTATTTCTTTCTATTAAATGTTGTAAGCATGTTGTGAGCCATTTGGTAAGTGCATTTTTCTACAGGCCAATACAAAACACCTGTTTTTTGTTTTTTT